TAATTTTCTTGAACAAAATGGTTAGTGAAACCTGCTCTTGGATGAAATTAAATTCTAAGTTTGATGCTGTCTTTTACTAGAACAAGATCAATCTATATTATTTATATTAGTGTTATTGTATATTATTTCTGCATTTGTATTTACTGGATCATTGTCAAGTGTTGAGTTGCTTTATAAATTCTCCAACTAATTGGTAACACATGAAATTGCAATGTGGGGTCTGTCAGATCAGTCTGAAGCAGCAAACCATCATACTTCTATACCTACCCCAACAATTGTGAATCCTATTTGTAAAATTGTACCAGAAAGATGCTGAAGAAAACTGCTTCATGATAACTCGCAGACAGATCCAGCTCATCAAAGTTAAATCCAACAAAATAATCTGCATCTATGTCCTGTCACATCTATTCTTCCCATAGTAGTGTCAGAACAATAGTAATTACTTTACACTTAAAGAATAATTGAAAACCATTCCACTGGGGGTGCTGCAGTGGGTTATCTTATCATTCTTTCACCACCAAAGCCTACGTTTGAATCAAATCTCAACCACTGAGGTGTTATTCTCCCTTCTCTTGTGATAGTATCTACTCTGTGAAATTAAACTGAGCTGACTTAAACTTTCCCCATGTGTGTCAGTCCATAGCATAATGTAGCACACAGTCTGTGTCAGTTTACTGTGTTATTGAGAGATGCTTTACCTGGGAAATTGGGGAAAAGAAAGATCACATTGGTATAGCCTGAGATACTCAGGAATACTGTTGGATCAGAGTGATAGACCTTTATTACTTATCTTGTCATGCCACGTCTGACTTGGAATATTCAATGCTGAAGCATAAACTGACCAAAGAACTATTTATGACAATTCATGTGCTGAACAAACTAGAAAATATTCAACAGCACCATGTAGTGCCATTACTCTATAAAAACACAAATCTAGCATTTATGATAGCTTCTTAGTCCCACTGGAGATCCACAACAGCAGGTTCACATTCCACTGCAGGCTCTGAGTCCAATTTTCAAAGCACACATATGTCAACTTTAAAACATTGAAAGAGGTATTGTGTCCACACACTACCACTATTGTTTTCTTAAAACAACTTCTATCAACTAACTTGCTTTGCAAGGAAATTTTCTTCACGTTCTACAAAATCCAACTGAACTTGAAATTGTCCGTTCTAAGTTATGAAAGATGAAACAAAGTATAATGTGATCTAAATAGAATGAGTAAATGTGATATAGCTGGTAAACCAGACTACTGTCGTACACTCTTAACGACTTCACTCCTGTGCTTGGTAGTAATGATAACTCATATGAATTTTAGATCATGCCAAGAGCCATGGGGTATCTTCTGTGCAAATTGCACATCAAGCTTATACTGCAGATGTTCAACACAGAGCAACCTTTATGCTTCTTTTCATTTCTGTCTGTAAAGTCTTTATCTGTCAGATGGTTTAATGGTTGCCTAAAGCCATTCCCTGTAAATGACAGCTCTGAATAAGATACAATTAGTACGTGGTAAAGTTATTATACATTATTGACATATTGTATTGCAAGATAAAATTTGTTTTTGATGGTCTACTACAATCCTCTGAGCACTTAGCACACAGCATCCATCTGTAATTTTATATATAGCAAAATCATTATTCCTAAGCCTCTTTAAAATAAGGAGCAAATTTGCTTTGGATAATCTAAGAAATTATCTTTTTCCGTCTGCCTAAAATATAGGCTTGAAAAAAATTAATGTTGCTTAGTTAATTTTACAAATATGCCCTACCACAGCATTTTGTTCTATTTAACTACCAGTGGGGAATGTAGATAGACCATTTTCCAGTGACCTTGAGGAGCTGTACTACTTCAAGAAGCAAGAAGTAGCTTCTGGTAAACAAAGTTCACTTCTGACAGATGGATTGAATGACAAAAAGATTGTGTGTGCCAGAATAGCCCTGGCAGAGGAGGAAATCTTTAGTGGAATCCAACAGGAGAGGAGGTGTGAACAGGTGCGGGACTGCTGACGGAAGGGGAACCAGATGGAGGGAGCCAGAGCCAGTTTAGTTAGAGGAAGGGAAAGAAGGAAAGGCTATGGGATAGATGGTTAAATATATGCACAGAGGAGGGTAAATAACACAACAATCAAAGCCACCCGTGGGGGAGGAGATTTGAGTGCTTCATATAACAGAAACATATAGTAGTGTTTAGTTTGATTAATGTTGTTTGTGCATAAGAAGCAGATGATTAATGTGTTATGTGCAATGCACAAAATGCAGACAAATTAACAAAACTAAAATTATTTAAATTAGCTCTTTGAACTGTTCAGTGCTGCAGCAAGTTCTACCTACTGTCGTTTGGAATTTGTCATGAATGCATAGGATAGAATACCGCACTGGATAGGATGTTATTTTGCACTCATTTTCAAAGACCTATTTAATGTAAGTCTAAAAGTAAGATGCATGCCATACTTGATGACTTTCTGTGCAAGATCTGATGTAAACTTTTGTAGACACATACATATATATATATTTTTGAAAATACATATTTTTGAATTAGAACTTTGGATCAGCACAATGTGCATCCTTCAGATAAAGGGGTTTGGGATTGTGAGGGAGATGTTCATTGAATAGAAGCTGAATATTTAGAATTAGTTGCTGTTGTAATGTACTTCTACTGTCAGTTTTCTTGGCATTTATAGAATCTATGTGGAGAACCCTCTTGATTTTCTGTTAGGAATCAATGGCAAACGCTATCATACTCACAGCAGCACTCTGTCTTAACTTCTGAAGGTCAGGATTGGATTTTTGCAGAGTCCAGAGGCTGACCATACATTTATAAAGGTAGGGCCCCAATGTGCCCCCATTTCCAACCATTCATTTTTTTCTAATAGGAGAAGGGATGGGGTTGTGATCAGACAGGAGAGAAACCTAAGCTCAGTCAGGCTTATTTCAAAGAGATCACACTTTGGCTATTGTAGGGTTCTTTAGAGTGGATAAAGTCTGCACATCTAACATGATCTGAAAGTTTGTAAATCCTCTGCTCTTTAAACTTGAAGCGAAAAAGAGGTCACAGTTGTTACTGAGAATTGAAATAACTTTAAACTTAAAAAGAAGTTTTAAAAGCTACAGTTACCTCAGCAGGTGTTTTAGAGTTCACAGTTTGATTAACACTTTAAAGATGCTTTTAGAAGCTTTTAGCTGTCTTTGATCTGGAGTCTGAATACAAGTTTGTTTTTTTTTAACAAAAAGATTCTAAAGCTTTAAATGTATAAGTGTGAGCTTTATTAGACTGTTAGAAATTTTTTTTCTTGTCTCCATGTGACCCTTAAGTTCTGCCCTCAGTGGATACTGAAAGATGTCTATGGTGGTATTGGGGAGGGTCTGGGAGGTTTGGGGAATGTGGACCACATGATTAACATTGAGTTAATAAAGAAGGTATGAGGAGCATGGAGTGGATCGGGGTATGAGTTGGCATGGAGAGTATGAGGGGAGAGGTGAGGTGAGAGACATAATTTAGAATTCATGAGGAATTTGAGAGAACATAGAAGTGGGAAACAGTCATGACGTTGCATTGACTTGGCAAGAAGAGGGCATGAGTAACTATGGAGGTGGTCAGGGGGCTAAAATGGAGTAAGAGCCAGAGAGCCAAACAGTTTCTGAAACAAGTTGGGACAGATTCCCAGAGGATTAACATCTTTCTGACTAGCCCACCTCAGCCACCCACATGGCCAACCTTCCTGCAGCAAAAATCACATGATCTGGCATTCTTTTTACTGAGGAAGTTCTGATGAGTTGGTAACTCTCCTGACTCAAGTTACCCTTCTTGGCACTGAAAATCTGCATTCAGATTGTATAACTATTAGGACAATAATGCTAGTGCTGCAGCAAGCCTTTGTCAAAAACAAATTAATATATAACAACGGTCGTATAAAACTAATAAGTGAACAAAGAAGAAAAAACCATAAACAGCAAACTGATTTTATAGAGCTTGGTACCACAGTTTGAAAATTTGAGTGAGAGATTGTGTGCACTAGATATTTAAATATATTCCTGGTAAGCAGAAAAAGGATGCTACTTCTGCAGGAATGAGAAACAGTGAAGAATTAATTCTTCCTCGTGCACTGGTGAACAATTCAAAAGTATCTTTTGGAGGAAACATGGCAGCAGATTGGTGGCCATTCTTAGTTGGGGAATGACTACTCACAGAAATCTAGACAGAGAGAAAAAAAATTAACAATAAAAAGTCAAAATTTCCTTTGGGTTACGTAATAACTTCAAACATGGCAGTCAGATTTGTAGGCAGCAAGATTCTGTAGGAGATAATAAAGGCCATTTAATTTGTTTTAATGATGATCATTGAGGAATATATATTGGTCAAGCCCCTGGGAAGAACTCTCGCATTCTTCTTTGAAAAGTTTCTTGGGATCTTTCGTATCTACTTGAGAGGCTAGAGAAGGCCTCAGTTTAAGATCTCATTCGAAAGAATGCATTCATAACTATACCTATAACAAGTAATACACTGAAGTATTAACCTAGATCATGTGCTTTGAAGTAACGTTTGAATTCACAATTTTCCTGAGCCAGAGGCGAGAATGCTACTGCTGAGCCATGCCTGACACTTAATAATACACTGTTAATCTTTTCTACAAACAATCCTTAGGGCTATGGTTTATTGCAGCTGTCCTCAGTAACCAACACAATTTGTATTTTAACGGAACATTTAATAACTTCTGCATAAAAACATTATCGGATTACATTAAGTGTCAACCACGATTCCTATATTAATCACAAGACACAAGCATCTTGTGTAAGAACATGCTGTTTCCTTTTTGGAATAAATTAAATTCATCGCTTGGTGTTTATAATCACGCAATTGTTTTCACAGATTTAAATGTAGCTAATGTTTAAGCAGTGATTGTTGGAAAGGTACATCATTTTTGCAATTTGAAGGTGTTACTGTTTAGAAACAGTTTTCTCACTGCCCTATATTTTTGACCTTGTTGCCTCTTTCAGGATGGAAAAGGACAGCATACTCCACAGTCACAGTGATGATGTCAAGGCCCTGGCCTTTCAATCCCAACAACGTGAGCAAGAGCTAACAGAAAAGATACAGCAAATGGAGGCCCAGCATGATAAAACTGGTAGGTGGTAGGCATAGATTAGAGCCAGGACACCTCTCTTGCAGGCCAGGCCCACACCTCACTGTGAAATGACATCAGGAACACCTGTAACCTTTGGCTGGCCAAAGGGAGCAGATGCTAACTTCACCGGAGATCCCGAATTACATATCAGTTAGCGTTTAAAAGGGAAATGAAAACCATTGCCCACTGTCTGTTGATTTCACAGTGCTGCTCTCACATCTGTTGCACCATCTGGATTATGAGTTTATTTACCTGTGTTAAGAAACTTAAAGCAGAGTGTTGCCAGCATAAAGTGAAGAACAAGGGGCTTCTCTTGGCTTGATTTTAAGGCACACATGTTACATAAGGAAAATCGCATCAGAAGCTCAGCGGGAAATGCTGCAGGGCTTATGTTTAAAACTCTGTTTGAATACCATCTTGCTATTGCCACATAAATTTGGAATAACTATTCTTAACAGGCTGACGACTTGAAATTGATTTCTGAATTGGAGTTATTCTTTAGGTTTTAGTCATTAACTACTATGTCAATTCTATGAAGTAAAATGAATACAAGTTTTAAAAATGTACAGTAACCTGCCAGACTGCATCCCTGAAGCTTTATTTTTCCCAACTCTAAATGTTATTTTAGTCATCGTTTGCACATTGCGCATGAAGCTGTTTTCATTATTTTTCTCTGAAGGGTAACCTTAGTATTGACAAGCTGGCGCACTGACTGAAAATGTAATGCTTTCTTTGGATTTCATTATATCGCATTATAATTATGCTGAACTACCAAAGGGAAATTTAACAAATTCAGCTTTATGTTAATCAAGATAATACCAGTAAAAATATTTTTAAAATGTACACCGTCTTGTGGATAAGGACATGGAAGTAAAATTGATCAGTGCTCAATTGTGAGTCAGAGTACATTTGGTAATTTTTTTTCTGAACAGTGATCTCATATGCAGACCTAATCAATTGTTTCCAATCATGTTGGTTTTATATTTTTTGTACTCATAAGCAAGAAGATCTGAATTTGAAGTCTTTTGGTGATACAAAATTAAAAGGGAAGAATTTATTCCTAATAAAATGGAAGTGTCTACACCAAAATAAAATAATGTCTTTTGTAAATCTAGTGATAATGATAATTAAACTTCCTCATTTTTATGAAGGGACTTCAGTTACAGAAGTGACCATTTTTTTGAGGTGAGCATGTTTAATTGTAATGACATTTTTTGTACATGACATTAAAATGAAATTTAACTTTAATACATTTTCAAGACCATCCTGATGGCTCAGTTGTTGAATGCATTGCTGAGTATGCAATGTGCTGTGAAGAACAGAAGATACCAGGTGCAATCTGTATTGGCAGGGTATATGAAGTGGAAGGGAAGGTATAAGCGGAGGTAAATTTAGGGTTCACCACATAGATTAGAAAATGGTTAAAAAAATGATCAGTCTAGGATCGCACTCTTGATGGTTATCCTTTGGGAAGCACTTGTGCATGGACATTAGCTGAAAGCAGCATTCTGTTTAACTGTAACACTAGCCATGGATGGATAGCTGCCAACATTCATTGTTTAGGTTCACTTATTATAATTGGCTGTTTAGGTCAAGCATTTACAGTTGCTCATTGCTCATGTTATCATACATATTTAATTCTACAGAATATTCAGTGATGCGCTCTAAGATAGTACCATCCACAGGTTTATCTGTTAGTTCTAAATACATGTTGTAGAAAGTGTATTACATTTCAAGTTATATACTCCCAAAAATCATGCATTCAAAGCACCATAGTATCTTTTTATCTACAATCTATACAATGCATTCTTTTGTTAGTTTTATTGAGCTGGCTTTGAAATATGTAAGCGTCATGTGATTGAAACTACATTGCATCAAATGCAATTTCACTTCTACCTCCAAATTAAATAGGCAAATCATTAATGCCAAAAATACATTGTGAAATTCTCTCCTACATATTACAAGCATCCAAACTGCTAGTACTCCTTATCAAAAGATAGTCTCCAAAGATTCACCCTTAGGCTAATTGTTGAATTATCTAGAATGATAACTACTTGGAGTGAAGATATGTTTTACACTTGTTCCTGGGATGTAAGCATCTCTGCCAATACCGGTTGTTGCCTATTCCTGATTGCCTTCGAAAAGGTGTGGCTGAGTACATTCTTGAAATGCTGCAGTCCAGCTTGTGTAAATACAACCACAGTGCTGTTTATAGAGATAACAAGGTGTAGAGCTGGATGAACACAGCAGGCCAAGCAGCGTCAGAGGAGCAGGAAAGCTGACATTTCGGGCCTAGACCCTTCATCAGAAAATGCTGTTTAGTTGGGGGTTCTAAATTTTTGATCCAATGACAGTGAAAGAACAATAATATCAATCTGAGTCAGGATGGTGTGTGGCTTGGATGGGAACTTGAAGACAGTGGTGTTTCTATGCATGTGCCCTTTTCCTCTATTTAGAAATTAGTTTGATTAGTTACTAAAGTTAGAAGAACAGCCGGAAACGGCTGGCTTTCTTTGATATAACAGAGGTAAACGAAAGATAACATTTTTAGATAGAAATGATTGTGGCAAGTGACTTGTTGCCACTTAGATCTGTTCAGAAATGAGCTCTTTTTGTAATGTGGCTATTTCTGGGAAATTGCATTAAGTGTTGTTAGTTGTGAGAAAGGTTATATGATATTGTACTGTGCCTAAAAGTGGTTGGAATAAATGTAGCCTTCCCCTCCTTTTAGCCAGCAGTCCCACTCCATATTACAATGCATATAATAAGTGATTTATTGCTCCACAGTATTTCGTTGTTGCCAAGGTTACTGAACATTGAGCAATTCTAGTCTGTGTACATGAAGATTTTTTTACACTGCATGATCTTTTTCATGCCATTTTACCATCATTGCCTTTACAGCTTGATCATCTTACTGACCTTGTGATTTTAAAAAAACTTTGACAGTTCCAAATTTGGCAATTAATTGCAATGCCTGAAGTTAAGAATTACACTTGGAATATATTTCTGCATAACATAGAAAGCTATTATTTCTCAGAAGCAATTTCAATGACACAGGGAGAATTGCTAATGTGTAGATTAGTTAAGGAAATGGCTGATCCCCGTGGCATTGTTTGTGAGCAGTACTTGCTGTTTGACACCAATGATATTAATGTCAGAGGTCAATGGCAATGAAGGATGTGCTGTCATAGGATGCAAGGACAGAGACCCATTTGGCAGGGTGGGGAATATTATGCAAAGGGTTAATTGTAAACAAGAATTACAAAGTCCTGAAAATAGAGCTGAATGTTGATAAAATGAAAAATTTGGACATACAAAAGTTTCTGCATTTATGATGAGGTTTTGGCTAACTGAATTGATGTGTTATATTTCTTCTTTCAAGATCTTTAAGTATGTTTTTATTATATTATAAAATAAAAATAAAAAGTGCTAAAAATACTCGACAGATATGGCTGCAACTGTGGAAGGAGGAACTGAGAAGTCAGTGACCCAAATTGGTTATCCACCAGAGTTCTGATCATGTCAAAGTGCCAGATAAAATATCTGAATAGGTGCACTTGTCAGAAAAGAAACTGATTCAGCCTGTAGTAAGTTGAAAATTTGAATTTATTATGTGATCTTCTTAAGGGTTTCTGATTTCAGATGTTTGTTAAATGTTTTTCTTTTACTTTTTTTTATTTGGCAGCTTTTCTTAAATGCTAAAATTTAAATAGAGAAGAGTAACAACAATAGTGAGAAATCAGCCATGTGTTGTGGTGTTAAAGGTAATCCTGTGAAAAGGAGGTATCCTAGTGCTTTCAGCAGTGTATAAATGCATTTCAGGAATAGCTTTTCAATACTGAGAACTGTTGATCTATTTGAACTATTTGATCTCTTTGCACCCCACCTTCCCAATTTCTTACTTCCTGTTCAGTGTATGTTTTTTGGCCTTGCATTGTGCTCTATTGTGTTCTTTTACTTGAGATCTGCACATAAGGTATACAATCTTGCTTCAGACAACACTGAACTAGGTATCTGTTTGCGCACAATTTTCTTAGGTTGTTTGTTAAACGCTATACCTTTTCACACATGTACAACAAACTGCGAATAATCTGCAAAGATACAGGATAGCTACTCCAAATAGAACAAGAATCCACGTACATTTTAAACTTAAAATGGGGAAGAGAAATAGAAATTTAAATTAACAAGCGGTTGGAATGTACTCTGGTTCGGATAATGTCTGTCAATAATTTAAATAGTGATTTTCAAAGACAGGTTCAAGATGATGAAGAACAGCTCGTGAGCTGAAAGCTGCTTCACTGTTAATACATGGGAGATATTCAAGTGATTTGTGCATTTACAATAACCCACACAACTACAATTTTAGTAAATGTTTTCTTATTTCATACTGTATGCAAATAATTAAAAGTGAGATGATGAATACAAAACCGATCATAACATTGAGTTTGCAAGCAGAACCTTACAAATAAATTATATATTAAGCAGCATGGTATTTAGTGTCCTTAATATATTGCTGGAAATATTATAGCTTACTATACCTCCATTTTATATTTGGATTGATTATACACAAGCGCTAACTACCCACCACAAATAATTTGGTGTAATTAATTGGAATAAATGTTGAAATAAAATATTTCAAGTTTTATTAAAAAATATTTTAGTGAATTGTTATTTGTGAATGTGAATACTAATAATAGCTATTTACACTAACCACATTTTGAAACAAAAGTTATTTTACAAAGAATGTGATACAGCCTACAACACTGGGCTGGTCAGTTGTCATACTGCAGGTTGGTTGTACATCGCATTTCATTCTAATTATTATGAGATTGTCCCTCTTTTTGAAACAGTTCCTGAGTTTCTGAATATTTTATAATTGACATTTCAGTTTTTGAGATTATCATTCAAATGTGAAAATTCATCTTTTTAAATATATTTATAATAATTATACCTACTTGAAATTTGACTTGGAATTTGCAAGGTTAGCTCAATTTGTTCAA